TGGTTCTCCCTTCTACGCAGACTTTATATAGTTCAGCAGTATTTGCCAGTTGACGGGTTACTTGGTCTCCCAACCCTTAAAACGAACATGATAGATGTTCATCCACGTAATAATACTATTACGTTTAAAGGTGTTTCCTACAACGCTATGAGCCATTCTGAACCTATGCTCACCGCTAGAGCGAAAGTGTTGTCCACCAATCCTATTAAGAGGAAGGCGGATCGTGCATCAGAGATACCTCTTGACCTCAACCACACACTTTCACAGCGTGATTACAGCTGCAATAGTTGGAAGATAGTACCTGCAATTTTGAAGAGTACTCTCCATTACCAGAATGAGGAATTCACCAACACAACAATCCTGTGAGCTGAAGTGAACATTAGTTTCTGCAAATGATTCGTTCACTGCCCAGGGTGTGACAGGACTTGACTGCAGTTATTGTGACTACTCATCAATCAACATCCTGTCAACAAAATTCTTTCGTATGGCGTGAACAACCCCCAGTTACCAGCACCCAGCACCCACCCTAGTGATGATGACACATCCGGTCTGAGAGATGGTCTCAGCATTCTGAGGTATGGTATTGTGGATGACCTAGTGTGACCATTAGCGGCAGTTTGCTGTACTCAGGATTTTTGTGAACATTGACCCAATCACCGGACCTTGGAATCAGCTGTGTCTACTGTGAGACACACACACACAAGTCTACGGGATTGCGGCAACAATTTCACATTATCAAGAAATTCTAGAAAGGATTCTTCAATCAAGCCTACAAGATATAGGTAGTATCTAGGCATACATAAAGTATATACACACATTTACACATTCAAGACATGCCATCACATTGATAGGACATCAATAGGTTAATGTCATTGTTGTAAGTGCTTACTTATGTTAATATATAGGTTTTTTAACACTTACGTTAGTAGAAAAGATGGCTGGGCACATGGGGATGGGGGGTTGGTTCCAAGGCAGAGGGCAGATTATTGGCCCTCACCTGTATCACTTGTATCAACTGTATCGTTATCCACCACAAAGGCTTGCAGGGCCTCTTTGTCAAACCCCTCAAAGTCCATATCCTCACTATCACTGACTTGGGCCGGCTGTGGTGGGTGAAGAACTCGGTAATGTTTTGATGACTTGGCGACCTTGTGCGCACCCTGCCCGCGCTGCTTCCCGCGTAAATGATGAAATTTACCGCGTAATTAAAACATTTCATTTTGGCAAGGGACCCCGTAAATGACCAAACGCGTAAACAAAAGCTGCGTAAATACAGAATATACTGTATTCTTAAAATTGGTCATACATTTCATACTGTATAACAATTATGTACAATAAAGGTATAGAGTTACAAGAGAAAATGTGGAATTCGGAAGTGAACAAAGGTTTGGAGGGGTGGATATAGCCAGCAATGTATAAGAAAGCTCAACTTGATTGATGGCAGCCTTTGCACCAAGTAAACAAAACAGCAGAACTTTAGGATGAAGCAGTAACTTATTAGGGATTGAGTGTGGGACTTTTTTCCATCGAGACTGTATCTTCAATTATAGAATGGTAATCAATGGACAATACAGTACAGTATTGTTATGCCGAGGTATAATTTGGAATTATAATGTTTGTAAACTAGGCGTTTTGATTATTTTCTATTCTAAGCAGCAAAGCAGCAATTATATTGGCAAGTTTAGGGAAATTTTGGTGTATACTATATATTGATGTACTTAGCTATGCAAGTATTTTCTAGAATGTTTGTATGGCATCATTTTTTTTATGATTTACTTCTTATTGTAAGCCTCGATCAGAGTAGAACATTCAAGAACTTCCCAGACATGTCCAGATGGTGCTAGGATGTTCTGGGGGGCATCTGATGAGGTAAACAGTAAACCCTCAAAGATTTGGACCCGGTAAACCTGGATTTCGGAATATTCAGACAAAAAATTTGGGAGTTCTGGTGTTAAGAAGCCTCCCTAAGAAGCATTCCCAAAACAGAGGAAAGAACATTTTAGGCCCGTGAGCGCTGGTTGACCGTCGATCGTGCTGGACACAGGAACATAAACAGTTGTCAATTGTTATTTGTGGGAATATTATTTTAGTCACTCTAATAATGATACAATGTTTCTTATTATGTTATTGTTGGTAAATGCATAGTTTATATAATTTGCTTATCAATGTGCCTGTCACCGTTTTCAAATTACATAGATTAAAAGGTATGTATTTCTTCCATACCTATTTCGACCCTAAGCTTGACAACGGGACACGGGTGCGAAGGGATTAAGTGACTGCGTCTGCTAGTTAGCATGTCATCTCGTATTGTAACACATTGCTCATCCCTGCCATGATTGGTCGATGCAAAAGTTTTTCGTCTGTGAAGACAACTCTGTCCCAGAATTCCAGCATGTCGACGAGTGAAGGCGAGTCTGTCAACACGGTGTTCCTCTGTCAGTCGTTCTTTCTTGACGGGAATCCTGTGGTGGATACCCACCCTATGAAGCCACCTCCGGACAATTCTAGCGCTCATGTCCAGCTGCAGATCTTTGCAAATTGCAACAGTATTAGTGAGAGGGTTGTCCTCAGCTGCTCTCAAGATCCTTGCATCGTCTTCAGGAGTAGATACTCGTAGCCGGGGATGTCTCTCTCAATCAAAAAGAAAATGCTGATTAAAAGCCACTAATTTTTATACTTAGTAACTATATTTGATTGCTCGTGTAATCACCAATAACATGTCAGTCTGATCAGTACTTACCAAGGTCGTTCAGGTTGCCATTCTCCTCCTATCTTCAAATCCATTTGATTACAGTAGCGGTTGATATTCCAAGTTCACTGGATATGGCTCGGATAGTGAGCCCAACTTCTCGTAGGCCCACAATGCAACTTCTCAAAGCTAACTGGGTGTCACGACGGTTCATCTTGAAGTCTAAGAGCTTTCTGTTGAATTCTATGATTTCTAGGGTCGCGACAATACCTCTGATGAGTTTTGATTGGCTGTCGACACTTGTTACGTGATCAACAAGCAAATTATCATTGTTTTCACTATTTTGTATAGTATTCCATTCAGGGGCAGATGCATTTATATCTTTAAACAAGTATTTTTTTTATGTCATATGCCATTATTAATTTCATTACTTGTGAAAATAAAGGATAAGGTGTGTGTGTGTGTGTGTGTGCTACAGATGGCCCAGCACCACACGGTAACTTCCTAACATTATAAAGGATAGCATTACACACCTACATGTCATTGGTAACTACTCGTCAGTATTTTTTGTAGCACCATACCACTAGAATCACCATATTAAAACAATAAGTATAAAGAGGTCATTTTGGTTTACCCGACGCAAGGCTACGAAGAAACATGACTTAAAACAGCATATGGTTTCATTATACACAATTAGTGCTTTCATGAAATATAATGTGCATATAAAAGCAGTTGCGTCACCTTAAAGTTATAGGTCGGATTTGGAAAATTATTATAACTAAGAAATTGGTCGACATCAAACACTGACTGGCACCTGTTTTCCCATACTGTCCTTACCCGAGGAAGGGTAGCAGTAGTGCGGGGAGGTGAAGGTTACGTGTTTCTCAGGTTTTGGAGCCTTAGATTAGAGATAACCAATTACACCCCAATAAATCAAACATGTAATGCTACTGTAAATACATATTCCTGTACAATACCATAATCATCTCTTCCACTTCCATCACTCTTTTGTGTGCAAAATACAATATGATTATATTATGCAACACGGAACTCAAGTAAACCCCCCCCCCCACACACACACACACACGGTTACCAGATCGTCAGCTGATTCTACCTCTCTGGTCGTCTGGCTGGGTGTTCAAATTGGGAGTCCAGGACTGTACACATAATGTATACTGTAAATACACTCTCTACACACTAGCCTACAGTGTACTGTATGTGCAGTGCATTCACACTTCCTGAATGTAGTGTATAAATAACTGTACAGTAATTACTTTTTACCTCTTAACACTGTGTTAACGGTATTCTTGACCAGTTGTATCTTGGTAGAGTAATCTACAAGACTGCAAAAACAACACAATGGGCAAACAAGCTTGTACAATGGCAGCAGACAATGAAATAATTGAATGTACAGGTACAGTAGAATGTCGATATAACAATATAACGCGAGATAATGTTCTGAGAGAAGTCGCTTAAAACCAAATTTGCACTAAATCGAAGTGTTCTTTCAATGGAATAATTTAGTTTGGTACTTGAAACACAAAATACTAAAAAGACTGAGGTCTACCCAGATGCACCTCAACCCATCTCCTAGAATAAACAAAACATTGTTTTTTGTAGTATTATGTTAAAACAAACACTCATAAATCAACACTGCTAAAATTAAGGGATGTGAAATGGTCTGTTTACTGGCTGGGAAGGGGGGGGGGGGAGGTGAGGTGACATGTTTGACAGTTGATGCCAAAGGTCTACTGTAGTGAAGTATATATTTGTTTATTTATGTCCTTTAGCTTGAGTTTATGCTTTTTGCTTATAAAATGTCACAGAAGTGACCGGGGAGAATATAATTTACATTGCTGGAATTCTTATAAAATAGTGATTAACTTGAATATAAATATGCTATAGTTTGTACTAGACAAAAATTTTAGTAATCATTTAGTACACTATTTTGAGTACATGTACAGTACAGCTTTGCCCTTAAGACAGTGTAGCGTGCCCAGAGAAACATTAGGCGCAAAATTTTAAATATGATGCGTCAGATTGACTCGCCCAAAATAGGAAAGATTCTCTTTAAATTAAAACATTGTCCTTAATTGTGGGTGTCGCTTTAAATCAATAATCTTAACTTGAATTGCTTTAAATCGATGTTCTACTGTATAGGGAACTGTAAATGTAGGGCTTTCCAAAAGACTGTAGATGATAGGAAACACAGGAATTTTTTTAGTAGCTGTTGAAGAAAATTAACTGTAACTGTAAATTGACAACAGGAAAAAAAAAAAAGAACACAGCCTAAACAGTCAAATATTCTTACCAATATTGGCAAATTGAAAGTAGAGTGCGCCTCCTTGAATCTTTCATTTTCACCACGAAGTCCTTCAGTTAACACTTGCTGATTCTGTCTGTAAAAGTATACAGTTTATTTAATACTGCTTGTAGACAAAGCTTTTAATTTTTCTAATAATTTAATCCATGATAGGGTGCCAATGGTACAGAAAGAATGAAAATGAGATTTGGATGATGTAGTGTACGTATAGTATTCTTAACTGCCCAACATGTCGATATACAGAAGTTAGCTCAACAACTTCATGTCATCCCAAAATACAGTACAGAATACCGTATTTGCCGGCATATAAGGCGCACTTTATTCCCCCCCCCCCAAAATGTTTCCCCAAAACACCATGTCTCATCTGCCCATATTACCAAATACTATTTGGAAATGGATGGTCACTTTCAACACTTAGATTATGCCTTGGGTCACATCCAATCCCCATATGAACCTAAAAATATAACGGATTAAAAGTTTGTGTTACTATAACAAATACAAAACTAACATAGAATACTGAAAAACAAGCAAAAGTGTAAAAAACAAAAAACAAAAAAAAAGTAAGGAATATTATCACAGACGTAAAGAGGCGGCTTACACGTGAAGCCAAAAGGCTGAAGCAGACTTACAACTCACTGTACAATCGTGAACAAAAGTAGCATTCCCTCCTGTGTGAAGCCTTATCCAACTGCATGAGCAACAACCAGAGCTCCATGTGAAACATATAACAACTCAACTAAAACTGAGCAGCCAAGAGATTAAAGTGCACCACATCACATTACAGTAGAACAGTGTAGTATTACCATTCCAATAAAAAATTATTATACACTCCAATTGCATATACAAATTAAATTGAGGCCTCATATTCTTCATTCTCCACACCACCAAGCTGTTCTGTGTTGACCATAAAAACTAATTAAATCAGAAAATATCTTATCTAAATTACATGATTGGTGAGAAAGTATCCTCTTTCATTTAAACAGGAAGGATTGGGGTGTACAACAATGCTCTCAGTGTCATTGTCCATCCACCAAGACTTCTTGGGATGTGGGAAGAGGGGAAAACAGTTGCCAAGGGAGCCCGTCCTTCCCCGTCCTACTGTTCGTTGATGGATATCAAGGTAGCAGGCAGAAGGATCAAAATTAACACGACAATACAGTGGACGACCATGATGTAGCACCCATCAATAGCATGAAGCCATCCCTGACGTTGCACATAAAACACCACTGATGTCAACAGTTCAGCTGAACCACAATCTACAGCTGCTCTTTCTTCCCTAGACAACTCGTCGATGCCTCCACAAAAACAACATTCATTGTTATATTCTGACTGCGAAGGGAAAGGTGACTCAGCCGCTCCTCTCCTGATTGTCAGATCTCTGAGGTATCAAAGAAACTTGCAGGGTATTTCCCCTATATGTAATCGTTGGTTATGCAAGGTTATGCAAGGAATGCATCCTTGAAAAGTTGTCCATATCATGAAATTCCATAACATGAAACCCATTTTCCCATTGACTTCCATTATATAATTGGAGATCTGTTCCTAAGGAAATTGTTTTGACAAAAAGAAACAATCCAGTCCTTTTATGAATGAAAATAGACATTTTTAAACACAATCACAAATTAAAGTATTTTATTATAGTAATCAGATAATAAATACAGTAGGGTCTCAGAGTACAGTACGTTTACCCATAGTGTAACTGATTTGCCACTATTTCACAGGTGTGTGAAAAAGTTAAAACTTTGAGGTGAAACCAGAAATAGCTATGAACTCATTTGAATAATGTGGCATTAGTAATGCCCTTGATGGTAGAATGGACGATTTATTGTAGATGAAAGTAATAGCTCACATACTAATGAAGAGAATCCCAATGAAGAGGATCATCTGGATACCAGCAGTGATGATGATTTTCCAAACTTTGAGGAAGACAAATAAAACCTTTATGCCTATGCTTTTGTATTTTTCTTTTTTTGCTGCTTGTTATGTATGGTATTCACTGAAATATTTGTACAGGCATTTAGAGCATTCATGATATTAGAATTAATTCAAATTTGTTGTGTTTTTCTGCTTGCTATGCACTGATACCAATACAGTATATTTCGTGTATTTAGCAATGGTGAATTTAAATACCTGTACAGGTTGGTAGTATATTATACATATTAAGAACTTATTATTACCTACTGTATTCTATTACAGTCATGCGCCGGTTAACGTCCTAGATACGTTCTTGGAAACTTGACGTCAACCGAAATGGACGTTGTCCGATCATCACATAAACTTTGTATTTATACTTACGTGTATGTGGAATACTATATACGTACATATACACTTTTACTCTTAAATCACTACTGTAATGTGATACAGGTGATTAATTTTAATCTCTTGTGCAAAATACATGACGTTTATATTAAAATTATTCACTGCTTTACAAGGATTCCAGCATCGCTGGGCAGTTGGGGGGAGGGAGGGAGGGAGCAAGCGAGGGGGCTTGGGGGGAGGGGAGGTAGTACGTTTGACAGTTGGCACCGGCCCAAGGTCTAACGCGTGTACCTGTATATTTATCAGTTCTTAAGTGACTAAGCTTCTCTCTTATAAAAAGCCAGTGACATGACCTGGGTGAATATAATTAACATTGTTGGGATTCTTGTAAGATACTGATTAATTTGAATATAAAAATGCTATAATTCGCACTAGACATAACAATTTTAGTACCGTAATCAAATTAATACATGTGCACTCCAGCTTTGCACTAAGGTCATTTATTTCTTTTACGTTTATTTTAGTATGGTGTGTACATGTAAATGGATGAAAATACAGGCATCTCCCGCGTTACGGAAGGGTTCCGTTCCCGGATAATTGACCGTATCGCAAAATTCCGTAACGCGAAACCTATTTTCCCATTGACTTCCATTATAAAACTGGAGATGCATTCCTCAGGAATTTTTTCGGCCCCAAAAAAGTAATTCAAGCACTTTTATTAATGAAAATAAACATATATAAACACATACAATACAGTACATTAAATAATTTATGATATACCTTCTTAAAACACCAATTTAAGGGTTAATATTGCATAATATTGCATTATACAGCTATGTGTATGTTTATTTGAGTGCCCAGTCATAGGAGTCCATTTTCTCTCACTTCAAGGCCGCCTGAGACGTCCGTTTTCTCTTAATCTTAAGAGTGCACCAGGGACTACTGTATTATTTTCTAGTGGTGACACAGAATTTGATATTGCAACTGGGGTTGCAATTGTTGAGTCAACTTAGGTATGTCTGATTACAGTTGGAATATTCAAGATCCATTGTGAGTGATGTTTAAAGCTTCAACTGTCTTTATGGTTGGTAAAACTTGTCAGTCTGAATGGCATGTGTGAGGCCTTGTGTTTGCTAAAATTTACCCCAATTTCCGTAAGGGCGGATTTACGGGCCGTAATGCGAAATTATTGGTCATAATTTACAAATTCCGTAAGAGCGAAATTCCGTAACCCGGGCTTCCGTAATGCAGGGGATGCCTGTAAAGGAAGAAATTTATGTAAATCTACCCAAAAATACAGTTGAAAAAATTTATATTATAAATGTACTACAGTATTGGACACTAATGTACTACATTGTCTATATCTTGAGCAAAATATATGACGCTTCTATTTAAATTAATGTCTGTCTTGCAAGGATTTCAGCAATGCAAATTATATTAACCTAACTTTAGTCTGAGATATTATATAAAATAAACATAAAGAAATCACCAATCTTTTGTCTGGGAACACAAGGAGGGAAGTAGCGTGTGGGAAGAGGGGGGGGGGAGGTGAGGTGACAGAATGTCTGGCGCTGAAGGCCTGTCTGCGTGTTTATTTATCATTACTTAAGAGTGACTAAGCTCTTCTCATAATTTGCCACCCAAGCGACCTGGGTGAATATAACTTACATTGGTGGGATTCTTGTAAGATAGCAATTTATTTGAATACCTGTATAAACAAGCTATATTTGCAATAGACATAACAATTTTAGCACCGTAATCATTTAGTACATGTACAATACAGGTTTGCACTTAGGTCCATTGTTACTGTACAATGTTGACTAAATTCACTAGATAACATACGCCTGGCCGCACAATCTATAAGAATACGCGATGCATACGTGACTGTGCCCGCTCTAGGGCCATTTAGGTTCGCTACGTACCATTATTTGAATGTTTTTTTTTTTCAATTTAAATTTTAATTGTTTATTCCTTGATGGAGGAAGCAGGATCCTAGTGCTGTCACTTGGTACCCCTGTACCATAACACCAGAAGCAACTGGCCAGTGTCCTAAGTGTATACAGTACAGTACAATCATCCCTTGGTTATCGCACCTAATTGGGACCCCGCCGAGTGGGTAATAACGAAAAACCCGAGAACAAAAGTACAGAACCTATGGGACTTATTCTAATTGGTTCCAGGCACCCAAGACCCAACCCCAAATTTCCCATTTTACGACCATTTAGACCCACTAAATATATATATAATGTTATGGTAAATATCATAAACACACACAGGCATGGCTAGGTTTATTACAAAGTGATGAAAAGGGTACCTCAATACTGTAGTCCACTTGCTTTTTTCATTTGGTCCCCCATCATACGAGTCCGTTTTCTCTCACATCAGGACGCCTGAGTCCTCCATTTTCTCTCTTAATCTTAGAGTGCACCAGAAACTTCGCTATTTCTTAGTAATGACACAGAATTTGAAATTGCAACCCCAATTGCAACTGGGGTTGCAATTGTTGAGGCAACTAGATATGTCTGATTACAGCAAATGTGTTATTGTCAATTTGTAGGTGAAAGATTTTATCCTCAATAGATGTAGGTTAACATTACACCTACATGTAGAGGCAAATGCTTAAAAAAAGCCTAAGGAAGGAAGCATATTCCTTTAACACATAATTATCTGACCAGTATGGGGAGGATCATCGTGTCACCATCAGGGGGTCGTGGAGTGGTGGTCCAGCAGGCGTCACGGAAGTTTTTTTTTGGTGGGGGGGGAGGAGGGGGGCCCACGGACGTATATGCGATCGGACGTTAACCGACGCATGACTGTATTACGGATACTGTACTGTATTTACCAGTACCCTGTACATGTACAAAATCTAATGTATTGCCCTAAATAATGCTTTAACATTATTTTCAATGCATGTATTGTATGAGGAATTCTACTAATTCTATCCCCCAAAATTCCTTGTAAAATAGGGATATGTCTTATATGGCCGTGCATCTTGTAGGCCAGCAAATATGGTAATGCATGCGAAAAACTTCTTGAGAAATAATAAAACTGCAGCAATTAAGCAGAGACAAATGAAAATACAAATCGACCTTCATCAAGTGAATGGGTATATAGAAGAAATTTACTTACAATAATTCTTTAAGTTTTGTTTCAATTTGCCGAAGCTTGTGTTGATGACCATATATTAAAGACATCATTTTAGCTAAAGATGGTGGCACCTCAGACTTTCCTTCCAAAGCCTCCTTCCCATCAGTAGAGCTTTCTGTGAGCTGTACTTCATCCTTTAGTAGTGTAACATCCATTATCCTGTCTTCTGTAATACAGCATTAAAATTTTATGAAAATTAAAAGTTGATCATTATTTCATTCTTAGTATAAAGTAAAACTGAAAGGAATTATTATGAAATACAGTTTTTAACAGCAGACCACTGTCAGTGCATCTGGAGACTGATCTTACAATCATCCATATTGCAGCTAATGCTCATAAAAATGGAGACTGGAAACAAGTATTGTCTTCAAGAAACAGGTCTTACAAAAGCCAAACAGCTCATATTCCAGCAGCCAATTAAAAAAGTACAAATACTCTAAGGGCTAGACAAACATGCATCCTATCAGTGGACTTAAGCCATGTTATCAAAGACATCATAATGAAAGTGGTCCACTAAAGTTGGGAGAATCAAGCAGAATAAACATCATAGGACCTCTAAAAAGACTGGTCATCAGATAACCTGTCCATCACCTCACAAGACAGAGCATTTTAGATTTTCTATTTATTATTTAAGTATTTCCGACTTACGACCATTTTGACTTACGACCTGGATGTTGGTCCCTAACCCCGTCGTAAGTCGGGGAGGAGCCTGAAGGAGCAGGCAGGAGATGAGTGCGACCAAACCTTCACAGCAAGTCATGGGTGGTTTAACAGATTCAAGAAACGCTACAGTTTACACAATGTTAAGGTGAGTGGAGAGGCAGCTAGTGCTGATGTTGGTGCTGCTGAAGCTTTTAAGGAGGAGTTAGATGAGGTGATTGTGGAAGGAAATTATTTGCCTGAGCAAATATTCAATGTGGATGAGACTGGATTATTGTGGAAGCGCATGCCTGAGCAGACATACATCCACAAAGAGGCGAAAACAATGCCAGGATTCAAGGCATTCAAGGACAGAATTACACTTCTGTTGGGGGGGAATGTTGCTGGTTTCAAGATCAAGCCCTTCATGATCTATCATTCAGAGAACCCCAGGGCTTTTAGACATGTCAGCAAGCACACACTGCCAGTGTTTTATCGCACTAACAAGAAAGCCTGGATGACCATTGTACTGTTTGATGATTGGTTCATGAATTGTTTCATTCCTCGAGCCAAGGAGTATTGTCTGCAGCAACGGATTCCATTCAAGATTTTGCTGATTTTGGATAATGCTCCGGGACACCCACCACACCTGGACGACATGCACCGATGTTAAGGTAGTGTACATTCCACCTAACACCACCTCTGTCATCCAACCCATGGATCAAGGTGCTATTGCTACCTTTAAAGCGTATTATTTACGTACGACCTTCGCTCAGGCTGTTGCTGCTACTGAAGGTGAGAAAAGGCTCAAGAGAGTTTTGGAAGGAGTACAACTTTTTGTCATGTACTGTATAAAGAACATTAGTGCAGCATGGAATCATGTTACAAATCATTGCATGAATGGAATATGGAAGAAAGTCCTGAAAAGATATGTAGAGGATTTAATGAAAATGAAGTTATTTCTGAGATTAGTAACAAGATAGTGGAGTTAGGTAAACACCTTGAGTTAGAAATTGATACTGAAGATGTTGAACAGTTGGTTGAAAGTGTAGCAGAAGAGATAAGTAACGAAAATCTCATCGAACTGGAAGCACACAAAGATGCAGAGGAAGAAGCGAGTCTAAATGAAGAAGAAGGACCTGCACCCCCCAAAAAATTGGCAGTGAAGCAAATGGCAGAGGCATTTGCTACAATTAATAAAGGGATGCAAATGTTTGATGGAATGGATCAAAATTATGAGTGTTTTGCCAAAGTTGACAGAATGGTCCAAGATGCACTTACTTGCTACAGAGAAATTTATGATGAAAAGAAAAAGCAAACTGTGCAGTCTAAATTGGACATCTATTTCAAGAAGTCCCCCAGTGCTGTCTCCTCACACTCCAGCAATGCTGCCTCTTCACTCCCTCAAGATGATTCAATACCTTCAACCAGCAAGTTTCCACAGTACATAAACCTGTCTGAAGGAAGCGACATTGATGACCCACCCAGCCCTGTCTCCTCCTCTGCTTCATCCAATTAATATAGTCTCCATGTATACCTGTAAATATAAAATTATGGGGGCCCCGTGTGCATTCAGCTGACTACATTAAAGGTAAGTGCTCAGTCACACTGTATCCATTCCTCATTATTTATTACTTTTACTGTACTGTATTTCATTGTAGATTTTTTTTTTTTTAATCTATGTCGGACTTTCGACCATTCTGACTTATGACCTGGAATTGGGTCCCTAACCCCATCGTAAGTCGGGGACTACCTGTATATATAGTCTCAATTTACGCGGATTTCCTTTACACGTTTGGTCATTTACGTGGCACCTGGCCAGACCGGCAATTATTAGTTATGCGGTACATTCCATCATTTACGCGGGAAGCGGCATGGTCAGGGTGTGCACAAGGTCGCCCAGTTAACAAAACATTACCGAGTTCTTCACCCGCCACCCACCGCAGCCAGTCCAAGTCAGTGATAGTGAGGATATGGACTTTGAGGGGTTTGACAAAGAGGCCCTGCAAGCCTCTATGGTGGATAGTGATACAAGTGATACAGGTGAGGGCCAATTTATCTGCCCTCTGCCTCGGAACCAAACCCCCATCCCCGTGTGCCCAGCCATCTCTTCTACTAACGTAAGTGTTAAAAGCCTAATATTATTGATATTTCTCTTAAATATTAATTGTGTGTGCATACCATCATAAAATTAAGATGTTATTTTTACTACAACGTATGTATTGTGTCGGAAAAAGGGGTAGTCTGGCGGTCGGCCCAGTCTCTATTTCAATTAATCTCATATGTTCTGTTGTTTCATTTATGCATTTCTTGTTTTACGCGGACCTCCACGGGTTTAATTGACCGCGTAAACCGAGACTATACTGTGTGTGTATATATATGCATGCATGCATGCATGTATGTATGTATGTATATACACAGTCATGCGCCGGTTAACGTCCTAGATACGTTCTTGGAAACGTGACATTAACCAAAATGGACGTCGTCCGAAAGTACAGAACCTATAGAATTTATTCTAATTGGTTCCAGGCACCCAAGGCCCAACCCCAAGTTTCCCATTTCACGACCATTTAGACCAACTAAGTATATATATATATAATGATATGGTAAATATCATAAACACACATAGGCATGCCTAGGTTTATTACAAAGTAATGAAAAGGGTACGCTCAATACTGTAGTCCACAAAACATGTAGCTATGCTTTTTTTATTTGGTCCCCCATCATACAAGTCCGTTTTCTCTCACTTCAGGACGCCTGAGTCCTCCATTTTCTCTCAATCTTAGAGTGCACCCCAGACTTCGTTATTCCTTAGTAATGACACAGAATTTGATATTGCAACTGGGGTTGCAATTGTTGAGGCAACTTAGATATGTCTGATTACAGTTGGAATATTCAAGATCCATTGTGAGTGATGTTTAAAGCTTCAACTGTCTTTATAGTTGGTAAAACTTGTCAAGTCTGTCAGTCTGAGTGGCATGTGTGAGTGCTTGTGCTAACACAACCGCTTTCATTCAGACCCACTAAAGATATAATGTTATGGTAATTATCAGAAACATACATAGGCATGACTAGGTTTATTACAAAGTGATGAAAAGGGTACGCTCAATACTGTACAGTGGGTAGTCCATAAAACATGTAGCTAGGTCTTTCTTTATTTGAGTGCCCCGTCATGGGAATCTGTTTTCTCTCACTTCAGGATGCCCGAGTCCTCCGTTTTCCTTTAATCTTACAGTACACCAGAGACTTCGTTATTCCTTAGTAATGACACAGAATTTGAAATTTTAACCCCAATTGCAACTGGGGTTGCAGTTGTTGAGGCAACTAGATATGTCTGATTACAGTAAATGTGTTATTGTCAATTTGTAGGTGAAAGATTTTATCCTCAATAGATGTAGGTTAACATTACACCTCGAGGCAAATGCCTAAGGAAGGAAGGATATTCCTTTAACACATAATATCTGGCCAGTATGGGGAGGATCATCGTGTCTCCGTCAGGGGGTCATGGAGTGGTGGTCCAGCAGGCGTCACGGAAGTGTTGTGTTTGTTTTTTTTTTGTTTTTTTTTTGGTGGGGAAACAGACGTACAGTACATGCGATCGGACGTTGTTCGGTCGGACGTTAACCGGCGCATGATATGTTTTCACCTGTGCGCATGCGCACTTACATATGCGATCTCTCTTTTTTCTTTACCATTATCGTTAGCTACTTCTATTGTTCCATTTATTAACATTATGCTGATAACCACAAGGAAAGAAGAAAACACGAAGTTCCCAAGCGCTTTCGTGTAATTCACATCTTCAGGGGTGAGTACAGACTTATTATTGAAGACAAGTTAAGACACAATGAGTTCTGATGCCTAGTGGATACAGCGCTAAGCTATTCTTGTTGTTCACGCCGGGGCACCCTGACGCCAGCCAGCTTTATATTGTCGGTAGTACTGCTATATCGTTCTTGGATCCTTAGTAACACTGAGTAGAGAGCAGGAAAGAGAGGCGCCACCACACATGCTTTTGAACATGGCAGTTGTAATGTTGGTATTGCTTCATTCTTAATCCTTACAAGTCTTCTTGGTACAGGTAATCCAAGTAGTTTATATTTCAAGTTTTCAATCGCACTGGCCCCAAAATGCAAGCTGCATATTTGGGCATTATCACCATTTATAAAGTCTTTCCTTTTGCAAAAGTTAATCCATCTTCTTCTAAGATCTTTATTCTTCAAAAAGCGATGGTATGCTATACCACCCATTTTTAGTTTGTCATAAATACCCTAAACTAAACAAGCGGTCGGCATGCTTGTTGTTGGAGCTAGTGACGTCAGCTACAACCAAGGTCTTATTTTCTTCAGTTTTATATGTAGAACCAGTCAGTCACTGGTTTTGTAATCAAAGAATAAAATGCTGTGTCATTTCCTCATGTGTTTTAATATTCTACGTATTATTAATGAATTGTATTGCTCATTTTGCACACAAACATTAATTCAATAAAAAAGACATTCAGTAATAAACAATAATGAATCTTTTGTACATAAGAGAAATGACGCTGTTTACACGATTAGGCACGTCATCTGCACGTTGGCGGGCCGTTCAAACCCGTCGAAATTCAAGTTTCCGCGGTCAAAATTTTTATTTATCTATTTTTTTGTGTTCCAATAAAATACGTTAAGAATTAAAAACTCGCGAAATTTGAGAAGCTACTATACGACATTTAACCCTTCAATATGTCTTCAAAGAGACCATGATGCAGAGAAAGTGGTGCTAGTGCTTCCAGGCTTAAGCACAAGTCACTATCTATCCAGGAAAAGGGTGAATTTCCATGGTCCGGCACCGGTCAGGTCCCGAGGTTGCCGGACTAGAGAGGTACAACCTGTATACGGTAATTATTCCAGAAACACTGACAAATGCTTTAAGCATAAAAAAATTAATTTTTAATCCACCATTTCATGATGAAAACAGTGATGATATTGAAAGTCTGGGAAAGGCTCAAAATTATTGATTTGCGTCCCTTCTTACCCTGTAAACCTTGACCCCGACCAAAGGTAGACCTTGAAGGGAAATGTGGAATTAAAAACATAACTGAAAGAACCGAAGCTAATCAAGTCACTGTACTGTACAGTACTCACCTACTAGGTAATTATGTCATAAACATCATCATACAATTTAGGATCATAACCTGACACTGCCATGTGATTTAGACCGGTTTGCTAGTGTTTGACTGAAACCATCAGCCCATCCATTAAGGTACAGTATAAACACATTGGGTGGATGGAGGGTTGAGAGGGCCTCCTCTATGCACAACAACAACAACAAAAACAATAATAATAATAATAATAATAATAATAATAATAATAAAAGATATAAATAAAAACTCCTAAATGTGAAGTGATGCAGAAATGCAATTCTTCATGCATTTTTTGTAGGTTTCTTGATGTAAGAAAGCTTTTACCTTTATGGAGAAATCTTGTCAGGTAGCTGTTAAGGCTTGACCACTCATGTCGGGTATTACCCAATACTGTACCCCATCAGGATTAACATTTACAAGAACACCGGCATTTCCAAATTGTCAATTTTCTTTAGTTTACACACTGATTTTGGACATTGCATTTCATATCCATTTTATGTAGCCAAGAGATTTTTGCTTATAGTGTAGAAATAATTAAGTGCCAAATGCTAATATGGTAAACCATTTATCAACAGAGTTGCTCCAGAGTTGGGGTTCAATAATAATAATAATAGTAATAATAATAGTAAAATTAATGACTAACCTGCCAATGCATTATTTGTTATGGTGTTTATATTCTTACTATATTTTCATCAGTGAGTTCTAATATGATAACCATTTTTCTTAAACTGCCTCATTTGATAGATAACTAAGCGACTAGGCACGCACTACTTTGTCTTTCTTGGTGGTAATGCAGCCGAGAAAGAGCATCCTCGCCAATCACATTGACGGTTCCGGTCGACGCCAATGTACGGCTATGAATGACAAGGTGCAGGCAAAAGCTCTCATGTCCATAAAAAAAGCGTTTAATATGCCGGGGAGTCCGGAGGGGCAGAGCCCCACTGTTAAGAAGTTAGGTAGGTTTCTTTGGATAGGTTGGTGCGGTCTTCTAACAAGGCTTCTGCTGCTTCTTTTCTTATCAACTAAGGATAGGGTAATTATTATTGACAACATTCCTGCCGCTGATTTTTCATAGAGAACGAATTGAAAAACACTGCAATTTCACTGTGTTTTATAGTGGACACTGTCGTGGTTATGGCAAATGTATTAAAAAGCGCTGATTTGGAAGTTCAACTTAGCCTAACCTAACCTAACCTAATTTGGGTAATTACTTGCTCCCTCGGTACATGCACTCGATCTATTAACTCAGATTAAAGTAAGTCTTCCAATTTTTTGGGACTTTGTGACACCAAATACTAGTCGAGAAGTGATTGGCAGTCCGATTTATTCATGTAGGACCATTATTTGACTTCGTTGCGGCTACATTTGGGTAATTAGTAGGACCGTTCAAAATGGGCTGTAGAGGGACAATGTGGGATAAAGTACTAAAAAGAACACCAAACAAGCCTTTGAAAAGCATACCTAACCTAACTTGTAAAAAGGTTAAAAATACTGTAATGTCTGAAAACACTACTACCACCAGAAGGGGTTTTCCAATTTTGTTCATTTTTTCCATATGTTCTTATCAATATAAAAGAGCGACATTTACTAGAACCATATAGAACTTGACCTAGCCAACCAAAGAAACCTACCTAACTTCAGAGCCGGTCATGGCAAAATAGCCATTACGAAAAAAGAAAGGTTCAAGTTGTTTCTAGATCCTCCACAGAAGGTCTGTGGCCAGACAAATATACATTGCCTATACTAAATATGTAGCATGTAATAACTGTCTACCTTTTACAGGAAAAATCCACTGAGCAATATCTACTCGTTTTACTGCTTAGAGCGTATGTGAGCTTCATCAACAAAGGTGTTACCACTACCTATACTAGACTGCATAAAGACAACCTCAGTAAATTATAAAGACATTTAACTTAGCCTTATTACCTTACCTTATTACGAACACTTATAATAAATGTGGCCAGTCAGCCCACGCACTTAAGTTCAATCCTGTCTATACCCATCCGCACTTATTAGTCACCATTACCGTTTTCAGAACAACGAAACAATGGCAAGTTTTCAATATTGAACGGAACTTGACCTCTCGTTATATCGCAAATATTCTTGTCTGAACACATTCACTTTAAATTAGAGTCAAGTTTATGATCCAACGGTCCTGACAGCCAAGAACCCCCCCCCCTCCCCACACACACACACACAGTCAGTTTAATACAGTAATGTAGTCTACAAATAAAGGAATATTAAATAATAATCCTTGCTACTAATAAGTAATAACCTGTTATACGCGATATTTTTAATAATTTACGCTGTCAAACAGGGAGATACTACCGCCTGTGAAGATACTAGAACCATAATGTATTGTATGAAAGTAAAAGTAAAGTCTGATGATTAACCCTGGTCACCCTGCTGCCATAGGGCATGAAGAAAATTGTAAATTGTGACCAAGTCTCAGACTCCCTGGTTGCTGAAGTGACTGTCTGCCTCAACTACACACAATTGATTTTTTTTGTGTATTTATTTATTATTATTATTATTATTATTATTATTATTATTATTATTATTATTATTATTATTATTATTTGTTAACATTTTCTACAATTGTAATTAATTTTTATCATTTCTATATATTCTATTAATTATCATTATTATTATTATTACTATTATTTTTATTTATTTAACTTTTCGTCCCCAGGCTCTGATGTAATCACCGAACTATACCATGGTTGGGTAATCCTGTAAAAAAAAACAATAATAATGAAATTATTTAAGTTAATTAATTCTGCTCTAAAACAATTAGAGGAAAAATCTAAAAATATAACCGTAATATTAAATAGAAACCTTATATAACATACATATGTGAGCTTTCTGGATTTGGGGATTTTTTAATGTTTCAATAAGATCTGCCCTGTTGTGTCTTGTCTGAAGGGTTGTCAATCCAAAGGGTGGGGGCCTATCCAAACATGATAAAAATTGGGTAATCGGTTGCAAACATGCTTAAAATCATATACCAAACAACCAGCCAAAAACAAATCATGCTGCAACTTTTAACAACGTTAAAATTCCATAATAAACGGGTACCCTGTAGCACAATGGTAGCGCAGTCGGCTCACAACCGAAAGATCTCGGGTTCGATCCCCGGGCAGGGCGAGAAACAAGGCAGGTCTCTTTACACCCGTTGCCTCTGTTCACCTAGCAGTGAGTAGGTACCTGGTTGTTAGACGGCTGTTGTGGGTCGCATGCTGGGGAATGGTGTAATGCAAATAACATCTGAGGAACACTTCTCAAAGAAACTAGGACTGTTTGTCCTAGACGCAACCAAGACTGGGCGTATGCCTAAGCAAGAATCCAGAGTAAACCTAACGGTACACATGAAATGACTTGTGGGTGAAAACCCCCAATCTCAACAGAATACTGGGTGTAAACCCGAAAACTCCTAGAATAATGTTCCTCAGGTGGCAGGCAACCATTTTGTAAATTAAGATTATTTTCCTTTTTTTGTATAAATTGAATAAATGAAGATTTATGCAATTTAGAAGCTGTTCTTGATGTTGTCGTTATGTAATTAACTCTGATCCAAGAGGTGGTTGTGAAAGAGCTCACTATCGGTGCCGTCACAACACTCTGACAGTTTGTTCCAAAAGTTCACAACTCTCACTCCGCAAAAATTCCCACTCACAGTTTTCCTGACTTGCGGCTTCTTCAATCTTGAGCTGTGACCCCTTGTGGGGCGAACGTCCGCCAGCTCCAGGTAAGAACACTCAACGGAATAGTGCCCTTTGAGATGTTTATACACCTCAATTATCCCCCCCCTTGCCCGTCTGTAGTATAAGCTAGGCAATTTCAGGCGTTCTAATCTCTCGGGGTAGCTGAGGTACCGAAGTGCAGACACCAGTTTGGTGCCCCTCTGGACATTTTCAATCAACTGACAGTCCCTAGCATATCTCAGGTACCAGACGAGGTGACAGTACTCCTGGCGGTTCAGGAGATTGGTCTGTTTTGCTCTTGCGGATTTCATTGTACAGTGTTATTATCTTATTAAAGGAGTAAACTGGAATGCCCGGAGGAAACCTGGGATGTTTGGTTTAGTGACACTGTGTAACACCCTTTTCACATCTAACCCGGGGTATGAACCCGGGGCAAGATTATGAGAGGCAAACACGTTACCGCTCTGAAATAAAACTCATATGACAGATCAGTTATTTTCTAGTTATGATTTAAATAGTTGAAGACTTATTACGTGTTAGCTGTGGACTCCTCATAGGCTACAAGAAAAAATAAAATGCTGCACCCTGCCTGGCGGCGTTCATGTAGGGCTGTATGAGCTACAGTAAAACTGAAACTAGTTGTCGCAAGTTCGAATCCTGAGGTGTGACTATAAGTAATGGTACTGATTTCTTAGCAAACATACCCGAACCTTCATATATAGTTATATTGTGGGGTTCAAGATTGTTTGGTTCACACTCAGGATGGAATGGAGAATGGAAACGCACAATGTGCTCTCTATATACATGTTGTATTGGATGTACAATGCAGCTTGGTGCTGGGAAGGCAGCATGGTTACAAGCGTGATGTAGAGAGAGCTGATTGGTGAGGACGCTCAGAGAAGGACAGCTTGTGGGTCGCCATGCTCGCCGGCGGGAGCGAGGACCGCCAGGCAGCGGCAGAGGAGGAGGTGTTGCTGGCTGGTTGGTGTAGGTAGAAAGAGAGAGGTCACTACGAGGTCAGGTCTTAACTAGCGGGGGTAGGCGTGGCTTAGTAGTTGACCCCCGCTCCGTGATGTATGGCGGCGCTGGTTGACCTCGACCACGAGGCATACACTGGGGAATTGGTGGGGTCGGCTACTCAGCGACAAACAGCGTTTGTAGGGGAGAAATCTACTACAATATTCATGAAACTCTACCAACAAATCAGAGACTAAAATGTTAAACATAAAACAAGATGATAGTTGTGTAAGATGTGGTGAGGTAGAATATCCATTACATGTATTTTACTTCTGTTTCCATAACAAAGAGATAATTAAAAAATGGTTTAAAAATCTCCTGAATACAGTCTGCAATGTAAATAACAAATTATTTCTGCATTTCTTAATGTTTAATATTAACTGTAGTGATAATAAGAATAAGAATACAATGATCATGCTAATGTCAGATTATATTTACTGTATGTGTTTAAGTAGGAAAGAAAATTCTAATGTTAAGGAGACTATAGCCTTTATTAAAGGCAGTATATATTATAATAAATTGATGATCAAGTGTATTTTAAAATAAAAGTCATCCAAATATTTCACTTACAAATATGTTAATATGTAATATTTATGTATACAGTATATGTAAATTGTAAAATTTATAAATAATAAAAAAAAATGAGTCAAACCGTCAATATTTTCATCATTGTTTTTACGTGCTCTACGAAATTGCAGTCCAGAATTCATTGCTGAAGAATTTGAGTATATCAATAATATTGGATTGAACTTAAAGTACTGTAGATCTTTTATAGACAAATTCTTAACATGGCTCATGACAATAAGAATATTTTTGTTTTGCCATTTACGTAAATTTCTCTGAATTAATGTGCTAATTAATAAAGAATTCACCATGAAATGTGTAATGTGCTGAACAAATTACAAAATGGTCATTTACTACCCTTGAGACAGGTTCTCAGTGAGGCACTGAATGTCGTGGAGTAGTAGCTAGAGGCTAGTTCTACTGGTAGTCCCGTGGAGTAGTAGCGTGGAGTCGTGGTTGGGCTCCGTTAAGCTTGTTACATGGAGGCGGGTTTGGTCTCCGAAAGCTTGTTGCTGTTGCACGGACTCTGGGCTGTGGCGGCATCACGGACCTTACCGCACATTTGCGCCAGAGTCGACGACACGTCAAGTGTTGAGGAGCCTGTCCCTCGGATGTTTTAGACCATTCCCCAGGATGCTGAAACATCCCAGGTTCCTATTTGCTGCTAGGTGAACAGAGGCATTGGGTGTTAGGAGATTTGCCTAGTGTCTCGCCCTGCCCGGGGATCGAACCCGAGTTCATTCAACTTTGAGCTGACTGCGTTAACCAATACGCTACAGGGTACCCAAAGAAATCAGAGTTTAAAAGTCATGAATTCCCTCAGGATATATATATATATATATATATATATATATATATATATATATATATATATATATATATATATATATATATATATATATATATATATATATATATATATATTATTGTTCCTCATACTTCAGCTAGTTTCTTGATATGCTGTTATAATGTGCAATTTTTTAATTATATGTACAGTACATTTTCCCATATAAGTTCATGTAAGCCTCCTGTTTCCATACTCATACAATCTCATTCAAAAAGCTTTTTTTTTTTTACGGGGATTAGCCCACCCGGATTGTACAGTGATGACGCGTTTCAAACACTGCGACGGTGCCGCCTGTTCAAAAGGACGGAAGCCCTCAGGAAAAACAAAAAAATCGCACCCAGGCACAGGTCACTGACCCACATCGGGGCCTGGGAGGCGAAAATGTTAGTCTCTGTTCACCTAGCAGTAAAGTAGGTACCTTTTGTAAATCGAAAGTTGCGAATTCGTATTCAGGGAGTTGTTGGAGCTTCCAATAACTTGATGACATAAACCATTGACTCTTCAGGCTTCTACGCCTTTGACTCTTCAGGCTTCTACACCCTTAATTCATGAGACATAAAGGCAAGCATGAACTTAGCATGCTTCCCTGTTGGGCGCTGTAAACGCTTCTGCGCTTCACCTTACACTAGGATGTAGGGGAGTGCCCAATAAATATAAAAATAAAATAAATAAATAAATAAATAATAATAATAATAATAATAATAATAATAATAATAATTCATAGTAAATAAAAATTACAAAAAATAACAAAGTAGTAATAATAATAATAATAATAATAAAGAACCATAAAGACATACAAAATGAAAAAAAGATCAAAGTGAGAAACATTATCCGTATGTTGTGTTGTCAATAGTAAGAGAAACAATTGAGACCCTGCAATTGTGTGTAAATGAGGCAGAAAGTCAGATCACCAACCTGGGACTTGGTCACAATTTTCATGAAGATTAGTATAATCTTTTTCTTTACTATTTTTAATTTATTTTTACTCTTATTTTTTCGCTCCCTAGGCCCCGTTGTGGGTGGATGACCTGTGCCTGGGTGGGCTATTCCCCGTAAAAAGAAAAAAGAAGAAAGAAAAAAAAAATCCGCATGTTTCATACACACCTCGTATTGTCCAGTGTTCGAATCCCAGCCCGGGACAAATACGGGAAGGGTGTTATCCAGAAATATACTTTCCTTGGCATGACCCTAACAAATATTTAAGATTTTGCATGCTTCCTTGTTGGGAGCTGTAAACGCTTTTGCAAGCTTCGCCTTGCACAGGATGCAAGGGGGTGCCCAATAAACTAGTCCCTTGAGGGGCAAATCAGAATCTGTCTAGGTGCTCCGGCAGCCACCACGATCCAGCA